TATCAGAGCCAGATCAGAAATGACAAGGACCTGTATTAGAATGGCAGCAATGGACTTGGAGCAAAGACACAAGATCCATTACCCCCGTATGGATATTTCCCTTAATTATCAGGGCCATCGAACCCATCTGCATTTTAGGGACTGAAGGCTGGAGAGGTTTGGGAAGGTTTCCGGGAGTATGTGGATTTGCAAGTCAGTGAATGAGAGATAGAAAGCAACCTTATTTCTGGACAAAGTTCACTCTTGCAGTCTTGTTTTCTCTGTACTTGCTGCCTCCATTTATTCACAAGAGACACTCCTACCTCCTGGGCCTCTGCGTGTACCTATTCTGTAAGCAAGAGATGGAAATCTCAAACTTCACATTCTTGGTTTACAGGGCAGACTGGGCAGGCAGGCCACTTAACTTCCTATCCCTTTGGCTCAAGGGAGGGCCTAGCTGCTCCTGGGAGAACCACCTAAGAAATTGCTTTCCAAATAATAGAACAAGGAAGCTTTAATTTGGCAACCTGGAACAGGCTCCAAGATAAACTGATAAATGAGAAAAAGAAAGTACAGACCCTGTGTATAATATGCCACCATTAGGGGGAGAAAAAGGAACATTTGTTTGCAAATGCATATTTGCATATATGTAGAATATCTCTGGAAGAACACACAACAGACTGGAACCAGTTTCATGTTTGAGGTGAATTGGGTAACTGGGAGAGACTTATTTTTCATGTACAACCTATTCAAATAAATGATTATTTCCAATCAAAGCAATTTATGCAGCCCTTAAAGTGACACTTATGAAATATATATAATAGCATAGCTTGTAATATTTCATTTTATTTATTATTTAAAAAACACACACCAATACCAGTATTTTTTTAGTTTATTTATTTATTTATTTATTTATTTTTAATATATTTTATTGATTTTTTACAGAGAGGAAGGGAGAGAGACAGAGAGCTAGAAACATCGATGAGAGAGAAACATCAATCAGCTGCCTCCTGCACATCCCCCACCGGGGATATGCCCGCAACCCAGGTACATGCCCTTGACCGGAATCGAACCTGGGACCCCTCAGTCCGCAGGCCGACGCTCTATCCACTGAGCCAAACCGGTTTCGGCTTTTTAGTTTATTTTTTAAAATTTATTTTTATTGATTTCAGAGAGGAAGGGAGAGGTAGAGAGAAATATAGAAACATCAATGATGAGAGAGAAACATTGATCGGCTGCCTCCTGCAAGCCCCCCACTGGGGATCGAGCCCGCAACCCCAGCATGTGCCCTTGACCAGAATCGAACCTGGGACCTTTCAGTTCGCAGGCTTATGCTATATCTACTGAGCCGAACCAACTAAGGCATAGTATCATTTTAAATGAACCATTATATGTAGGTATTTATAAAATAAAAGTAACAATGAACAAAACCCCAATCCTATCTAATAAAAGGGTAATACGCAAATTAACCACCACTCTGTCACAAAGATGGTGGTGCCCATAGCCATAAGATGGCAGCGCCCAGTCTTCTCAGCCCCATCAGAGTCCCCCAGTCCCTGGGGGTGGCTGCTGAGAGTGGGTAGCGTGAGCGACCTGGCGGAATGCTTGCTTTGTCGCTGCACCTGGCTCAGGCCGGCCCCCCGCAGCTGGAGCGGACACAGACAGGGACAGAGGGCCTGGCCCACAGCCTCTGCGGCCGAGTGCAGGCCTGGAGAGGAGACAGTGGGCCCACCTCCCGCAGTGCTCCCATGGGCACTGTAGCTCGCTTCTGCCTCCTGCAGAAGTCACATGGCTCCCGTGGAAGCAGTGCGGCTCCCGGCGGCTCCCGGCAGCTCCTGCAGAAGGAGAATGGAAGGATATATACCACAAGGTGGTTTTTGAAACTATAGGTATTCTTTCTCTTTTTATTCTTTTCCAATTTTCTTTTATTATATCTTTTTCATAATGGTGACAAAATAAACCTTATAACAAGGAAAATAAGTCGCTTTTCCTTCCCAGGTTACAGCAACTGAGCTATCTAGAGAGGACTAACTTGTCCAACTGGTGTTCACTCCCCTGTGGCATGCAGGTTTTGATTTGGACTATAGATGAGGTTGAGAGGCAATGGACAAGAGTCAAACACAGAAAAAGACAGGAAGGATTTCAACTGCCTTCCACCTGAGGGATTTTCGTCACCTTCCCCACAGGCATTGGTCCAGTGTGGAAGAGTTTGGTGTTCTTGGATGGATATACCTACTCCTGACAGCTTTCTCCATCTATTATGCTCCTACCTGTTGGGTCACCGACTCTTCCAAGTACTTGCTTTTTATTTTATTTTATTTTTTAAATATATATTTTATTGATTTTTTACAGAGAGGAAGGGAGAGGGATAAAGAGTTAGAAACATTGATGAGAGAGAAACATCGATCAGCTGCTTCCTGCACACTCCCTACTGGGGATGTGCCCGCAACCAAGGTACATGCCCTTGATCGGAATTGAACCTGGGACCCTTCAGTCCCCAGGCGACGCTCTATCCACTGAGCCAAACCAGTTAGGGCAAAGCGTCCCGTATCTTTTTTTTTAAAATTAAATCTTTATTGTTCAGATTATTACATTTATTCCTCTTTTTTCCCCCCATAACTCCCCTCCTCCCAGTTCCCACCACACCCTCCGCCCTCACTTCCCACCCACTGTCATCCATAGGTGCACGATTTTTGTCCAGTCTCTTCCCGCATCCCCCACACCCCTTTCCCCCCCAAGAATAGTCAGTCCATTCTCTTTCTATGTCCCTGATTCTATTATAATCACCAGTTCATTCTGTTCATCAGATTATTTATTCACTTGATTCTTAGATTCACTTGTTGATAGATGCATATTTGTTGTTCATAAATTGTATCTTTACCTTTTTCTTCTTCTTCCTCTTCTTAAAGGATACCTTTCAGCATTTCATATAATCCTGGTTTGGTGGTGATGAACTCCTTTAGCTTTTCCTTATCTGTGAAGCTCTTTATCTGACCTTCAATTCTGAATGATAGCTTTGCTGGATAAAGTAATCTTGGTTGTAGGTTCTTGGCATTCATCACTTTGAATATTTCTTGCCACTCCCTTCTGGCCTGCAAAGTTTCTGTTGAGAAATCAGCTGACAGTCGTATGGGTATTCCCTTGTAGGTAACTGAGTTTCTTTCTCTTGCTGCTTTTAAGATTCTCTCTTTGTCTTTTGCTCTTGGCATTTTAATTATGATGTGTCTTGGTGTGGTCCTCTTTGGATTCCTTTTGTTTGGGGTTCTCTGCACTAACTGGACTTGTAAGTCTATTTCTTTCACCAAGTAGGGGAAGTTTTCTGTCATTATTTCTTCAAATAGGTTTTCAATATCTTGCTCTCTCTCATCTTCTGGCACCCCTATAATTCTGATGTTGGTACGCTTGAAGCTGTCCCAGAGGCTCCTTACACTATCTTCGTATTTTCAGATTCTTTTTCATTTTGCTTTTCCGGTTGGGTGTTTTTTGCTTCTTCGCATTTCAAATCTTTGACTTGATTCTTGCGCTCCTCTGGTCTGCTGTTGGGAGTCTGTATAATATTCTTTATTTCAGTCAGTGTATGCTTAATTTCTAGTTGGTCCTTTATCACAACTGCGCCCTCAGCCACCAGCCTGCTCCACACGCACCTCCGCACCTTTGTATTTTACTTCCGCACCGCAGCTCCTCTGAGTCTCGGTATGCTTTTCTCTTTCCTTCTAGTTGTAGAATTTCCACTCAGCCAGCCTTCCTGTGGTTCTGGATGATGTCCGTTCCGTCTTTTAGTTGTATTTTTGAAGTGGTTGTGCGAGGCAGCAATCTCTGGTGTTTACCTATGCCACCATCTTGGTTTCTCCCCAAGTACTTTCTAGTGACTAAGTACTAAGTACCTCATACTTTCATACTTAACTCCTAAACTGTCTGGTAGCATCCATTTGATTCTCCCCCTGGGGGTGCATCTCCACCAGTAGGTTTGTATCTGTCTGTGCTGAAAGTTCCTACTCCTGCTCTATGGTGTCTATTGTCAACTGCTTCCTGGGTGTCTTTTCCTGGAGAGCACCCACATGCATTAAACAGATTTGAGGTGAATGTGTGATTCCCCTGTCAAACCTGCTGCCTATGTTGTACACCTCACCTCTGTTAATAGCACTACCACACATCGCCTTGCCCAGCCAGGGATCTCCAAGTTCACCTGGAGTCTTTCCTCTCTCTCTCTTTTCTGCCAGTTCACCTCTTCTCTCCATACCCTTGCCTGTCATTGTTCATCCTTAACCTCCCTGCCTTTAGTCCAATCTATCATTTTAAAATTAAGATCTCACACCCAGCCAGCGTGGCTCAGTGGTTGAGCATCAATCTATGAATCAGGAGGTCATAGTTCGATTCCCAGTCAGGGCACATGTCCAGGTTGTGGGCTCAGTCCCCAGTGTGGGGCATGCAGGAAGCAGCCAACCAATGATTCACTCTCATCATCGGTGTTTCTATCTCTCTCTTCCTCTCCCTTCATCTCTGAAATCAATATTAAAACAAAAATCTCACCACTGTGACTGGTTTGGCTCAGTGGATAGAGCGTCGGCCTGCGGACTGAAGGGTCCCGGGTTTGATTCCGGTCAAGGGCATGTACCTTGGTTGCGGGCACATCCCTAGTTGGGGGTGTGCAGGAGGCAACTGATCGATGTTTCTCTCTCATCGATGTTTCTAACTCTCTATCCCTCTCCCTTCCCCTCTGTAAAATATCAATAAAATATATTTAAAAAAAATCAATTGAAGCAAAAAATAATTTGAAATGTGGTCAAATCACTGGGTAACACAGAGATGTGGACTAGAAGAGTCTTTGGTAAAGAAAAAGTTCCTTTCACTTGTTTCTCTGATTATTTCCCCTCCAGCCCTTTCCTTTTACCATCTCTCAATCAGCAGACCTGGGCAATGTGGGTGGTAGTATGCATAATGGAACAATTAAGCCTTTATTTGATCCTATTCTTAATTTTCATCCTACTCAACTCTGTTCTTTCCAAAGTTTAATAAATAAGCATGAATTCTCTCTTGGCATCAAGCTGCAGATGGAGCAAGAGGATTCTATTACAGCCATCTGAGCAAACAGAGCAAAGAGGAGCATCACAATGGTGCTGGAAGGAAGGAAGAGGGCTTTCAGGCTCTTGAAGAGAGCTGCCCACCCGGATCCTCTGGCTTTAATCTCCAGGGCTCCATTACAACAAGGTATTATCTTTAACCAGTTCTTTGTTTCTATGCCAAGAATGTGGACCAAGGGTTGTACTTTTAAACAAAAAGGAACAACAACAACATACTATTGTCAGAGTCCGATATAATATAACATTAGGAGATGGGTCCTTTTGGACATACTCAAAAACAGTCAGAAGGCTCCGGCTAGAAATAAATGACAAAGCTTTATTAAAGGGTCTTGTGGTCCTGCATTCTTAGCCTCTGAAGATAGCAATCTTCAGATGTCTGGTGGTCTAAACAATGGAACAGTTTCTTCTTGAGGTCATTCTGATAGTCATCTGAGGATCTGATGTATATCCAGGCATTGACTTGGACTAGAAAGTTCAGAAGATTAAGTTCTCAGGCTAGTAAGGCAAGAATAGAATAGTTTCCTCATGCCCCCGCCTACTTTATTTTAATAATTCATCAGCTGACCATCGTGACTCCATTTTATTTCTTCACTCTGTTCCTTGACACAGGAAGCAGGAGCAGCGTTGGCTGTGATCTGGAAGTAGGGGCGGAGGTAATACCTGACTACAATTACTCAGCATCCCCTGGAGCCACAGTCCCTGGGGACCAGAGGAGGCCCAGGCCCAGGACTCCTGAAGGCGGCTGCTATTGCCACACATCTAGAGGGAGATCATCACATGGGTAGAGTGGGAACAGAGAAGACACCACGCCTGCTGAATCTTCTCAGATGGCTTCTTCTTCTTCTCTGGGGAATGGAGGGGTAGGTGGTCTCTCATGACTGTGAAACCTTGGAGTCATTTTTGCCCCTTTTGTGCACTTTCCCTCCCCTCACCAGCCCATCATCTAACGAGCTGCTGAGTCTACCTCACAGCGCCTCTCTAGTATCTACCAAACCTTTTCATCCTCACTGCTGTGCCACTGTCAACCCCAGTTCTCCAACCATAACCTTCTTCCTGTCTGTATTACTTTCCTAGGATTGTGGTAACAAATATCATAAACTGAGTGCCTTAAAGCAATAGAAATTTATTCTCTCACAGTTCTGGAGGCTAGAAGTCCAAAATCACAGTGTTGGTAGGGTTGCTTCCTTCAATGGCACCTTTAGGAGAATCTGTTCCATGCCTCACTCCTAGTTTCTTGTAGTTGCCAGCAATCCTTGGTATTGCTGGGTTCCTAGAGGTGTCACTTTCGTCTCTGTCCCTCTCTGTTTTTCCTCTTTCTGTGTGCATTCTCTCTGTGTGTGTGTGTGTCCTTGTATCTCCATTTTCTTAAAAGGAGACCAGTCATTGGATTTAGGGCCTACCTTAACTCAATAGGACTTCTTCTTAACTAATTACGTATGCAAAGAGCCTAATACCAAATAAGGTCACATTCTGAGGCTCTGGGTGGACATGGGCTTTTGGAAGGCACTAATCAAGCCTAGGATACAGTTTTTCCAGCTATCACAATCTCACGCCCATACTTCCTCGTTCCCCTCCAATCTCACTGTCTCCGGTCTTGTCCAAGTTTGTCTGAGTGTTCAGTCCTCTGTTGACCTCTGACGTTTCTATCTAGTCTTGACCAGACAATGGATAACATGAACCTTACCATCCCTTCCTCTGACATTGTGTTGCTCACTCCACAGTCTGCCTCCCTCCAACTGACACATAGGCTGCTGTCAGTTGCTAAAGGAAACTGTGCACCCGTGAGGACTACAGCCACAACAAGATCTCTCTCCACTCGCTCCTGGGCCCTCCATGCCAATCAGCAGTCTTCAGTGAGTCTTGTAAAGTTTCTTCTCTCTTCCCGAGCCCCAGCTGACCATCTTCCTTTGGTCTCAGGAATCGACTCATGACTTCATCGAGAAAATTGGGCCATAAAGCTTCGAGGACTTGAACAACCTGCTCCCCGTCCGTTTTACCTACATTTACAACAAACCTCACCTACTCTCCCTGTGACACAGGGTGAGCTGCCCACTCTGCTCAGGCCAGGCCAGGCCCCTCACAGCCCCTCTGAGAGCTTGCTCTTTCAGCCACCTCTGCTCTGTCTCTCAACCTACACCATGCTCTAGCTCTCTGGTGTTAAAGCATGCCCTGCTCTGATCCTCTGTTTCCTTCTAGCCAATGCCTCCTCTCTCTCTCTCTCTCTCTCTCTCTCTCTCTCTCTCTCTCTCTCTCCATCTCTATCTCTATCTCTATCTCTATCTCTATCTCTATCTCTATCTCTATCTCTATCTCTATCTCTATCTCTATCTCTATCTATCATCTCTCTGTCTCTGTCTCTTCTCTCTCCCCCCTCTTCCATTCCTCCCTCCCTCTTTCTCTCTCTCATTAGCTAAACTTACTGAAAAATGGTCTTTGTGGTTTTCATATCCTCCCTTAGAAGGCAGCTATGCTAACCACTATACCACCAACGCCCCTATATATCCTCCCTTAAAATGCATTCAGAGGCCAGCTCAATGAGATGCTGTTACTTTTCCCTCCCTCTTCCTCTAAACCAGTGGTTCTCAACCTTCCTAATGCCGCGACCCTTTTACAGTTCCTCATGTTGTGGTGACCCCCAACCATAAAATTATTTTCGTTGCTACTTCATAACTGTAATTTTGCTACTGTTATGAATCATCATGTAAATATCTGATATGCAGGATGTATTTTCATTGTTACAAATTGAACATAATTAAAGCATAGTGATTAATCACAAAAACAATATGTAATTATATATGTGTTTTCCGATGGTCTTAGGCGACCCCTGTGAAAGGGTTGTTCGACCCCCAAAGGGGTTGCGACCCACAGGTTGAGAACCGCTACTCTAAACCCTAACTTGTATCTGTCCTGTTGGTGTCCTTGTATCTTCCAGATTATGAAAGCAAGGTGACCTTGCACATCGCAGTGGAAAGATGGTAAGATAACCTGTTTCCGGCCACAGTATTTCCCTAAGCCCAGTTAAGGTGCCCATTTTCCTTGGTGTGTCTGGATGAATGGAGTGGGCCACATGGGCTGAGAGAGAGAGCAACCTAATGAAACAAAGAAACAGACCCCAGGGTCTCCTTCCTGTGGCTGCTACTGCTGCTGCCGCCACCTTCAACGAGTAGCAGGCAGTGGCAATTGGGCAGGGAACGGGAGGAAGGGGACTGTGTTTCACGTACTCACACCTGTAAGACTACTTTTGCCCCGTTGATTCCATCCTACTTGACTCAGGGACAAGGGTTGGGGTTGCATTCTATCTGTTTTCATATATCTACTGCCTTAAGATATATGCTAAGGGAAGGAAGTCACTTTTACTCCTGATCAGAATCTACAGCACATGTATTTGCCTTGGTGTGAAAAACGTTGTGGAGGCAGATTCCCATCTTCACTCGCTTCCTGCCTCAATGCTGTTGCGACGCCCTGGCACAGGGAGGCCTCTGCAGTCCGATGTCACAGACTTGCAGATGGTGTGGACGTAAAATTTGCATGAAGATTTAATGTAAACACTTGGGTAAGACCTGGCACAATCTTTATTAAAAGGGAGTGTTTAGTAAAGGATAAAACATACGTAGCCGTAGTTAATCCTCCCAGGTAGTATCCAAATGAATGCAGCAAAGGGGTGGTCAGTTTTGTGCCACGTAGGTGGCCATTTTACCTTAATGTGGTTCTTGGCACTATGTGTGGCACAGATGAAAGCACATCAGAGCCTGCCACTCCACTTCTCTTCGGGCTCCCCGCGGGACTCAGAATAAAACCCACCCGCCTCCTCTACCTTCAGGCCCTTCTTCATCTGGCTCCTGCTCCATTTCAGATCTCATCTTATACCTTCTCCCTCCCTGTTCTTTTGGCCGAGGGAACAGCCCAGAGCTTTTTGCTTTAAGAGCTCTGCATTTGCTGTGGTCCTTCAGGGCTGAATTGAAGTGTCACTTCCTTCTCTGACCACCACCCAGCAGTGTCCTTGTCTGTTTTGTGTTTTGGTTGTCAAATGACCTTTACTTGAAATATTTCCCTTTGTGGTTCTTTTATTTATTTATATATATATATATATATATATATATATATATATATATATATATATATTTTATTGATTTTTTACAGAGAGGAAGGGAGAGAGAGATAGAGAGTTAGAAACATCGATGGGAGAGAAACATCGATCAGCTGCCTCCTGCACACTCCCACTGGGGATGTGCCCGCAACCCAGGTACATGCCCTTGACCAGAATCGAACCCGGGACCTTTCAGTCCGCAAGCCGACGCTCTATCCTCTGAGCCAAACCGGTTTCGGCTCCCTTTGTGGTTCTTAACTAGCTGAGCATTCCACTGCATATTACCATATATTAATTCCTTCACCAACACCAATTACTGTGCTAGGTGATGGGGATTAATAGATGCCACACAGTCTCTCCCTTCAGTGAACTTAGAGAGGGAGACGGACAAGTTAAGTAATTATAGCAGTGTGAATTAACTAGCTGGGCATTCATGAGGGTGGTGGACATCAACATGGCAGTACCTCTTTAATGATTCCAGAGAGTTCTTTAGCTAAAAATCAGTGCCGAGTCTGTTGGGCACTGTTGACAATCTCATCAAAAGTCGTATTTCCAGTATGCTTAATGGGGCTTTTTTTTTTTTTTTTTTGCTTCTTTCTGTCTCTTGGCGGTTCTTTGAGGGCTTTGATGATTGGGGCAGAGGCAGAAAGTACTGCCTCAATCTAGGCTTGTCTTCTTCTGAATGGTCTGTTTCACTGTAATCCTCAGACCCTTCCAATCACTGATTGCTTTGGTGATGTCATCACCAACCTTCTTTGGAGACAAAACCAGGGAGCCACTCTTGGGGACCAGGGCAGATATGTCAACGACTTCTCCACTGGGGTACGTCAAGTATATGACTTTGATCTTGTTGGGATTGAACTTAGGTGGCATGGCGGAGATGGCTGGTGTCGGATGAACCCAGGTTCTGGATGATGGAAGAAAGTTGTACCTAGGCCTCCTGGGAGCCAAAGGCTGAAAGCATGTCTGTCTTTTTTATAAACCACTGTATCCCCAAGAATGCCTGAAAATAGACAGTCAATAGATAGTCATTGATCGAGTGCACAAAGGTACAGGACCATTGCCACTTTAGGTGGCTCTTGGTTGTTTTGGAGTCTTATCTGTCCTTGAGGCTGTTTTCATGGTGCTGCTCTAAAAGGCTTTAAAAGTTTGGTTGATCTGGAAAGTATTTTTAAAAAATAGGGGGGGGGGGGGAAAGCCCTTTTGGTTTGTGAAGCTAGTGGATAATTGCTTAAAATATTTGTAGCAATTCCTGGATACCATCCATTTCCTGATTCTGCCTATTGCTCCCTCAATTTTGTATGTCATAAAGTGACCATTAGTAGATATAAATATAATAAACAGTAAGTCTTCAAAGGCTGTTTGACCATCAAAGCCCATATCGCTCTTAATTTGTGCCAGGTGAGGAGAGAAATGTGGCCAGAAACCGCAGTGCAGAGAAGCTGAACAGCTCCCAAAGTTCCAGAATGAGTTGGAGAGAAGTCAAAATTTAATCCTACAATCTCATAAACGCTTATAATTATTACTCGAAAGCTATCTGGTGGTATACACATGCACTAACATTGTGAATATTGAGTAGTAAGTACATCTATGTTTTCAACAGAGAGATTACTTTGAGGGTAAATTCATCATAAGTGATAAGGATCTATTAAAACATTTTGTTATATTTCATTATATGGTAAATAAATATTCATTATTGAAAAATTAGAAAATGTAGAAAAATGAAAAAGAGGGGGAAAAACCACTCAAAATCCCATCCTGGCCACATTTCTCTCCTGACGTGGCACAAATTAAGAGCGATATGGGGTCGCCTAAGACCATCGGAAAACACATATATAATTACATATTGTTTTTGTGATTAATCACTATGCTTTAATTATGTTCAATTTGTAACAATGAAAATACATCCTGCATATCAGATATTTACATGATGATTCATAACAGTAGCAAAATTACAGTTATGAAGTAACAACGAAAATAATTTTATGGTTGGGGGTCACCACAACATGAGGAACTGTATTAAAGGGTCGCGGCATTAGGAAGGTTGAGAGCCACTGAGTTAAGAAGAAAGCACACAGACACTGGTAGAAGGGGCGGAGGCCCAGAATGGGCTGGACCGACACCCATGTGTGGCATGTTTTTAATCGGGAGGGATGTCTTGGCTGTGGAGGTCTCCTGTGAGGAGCAAGGGGCCCAGCCCTACACCAAACCCCTCAGCCCAGAGTTCCAATGCTGTGAAGAGAGGACCCTGTACCTTCAGGCTGTAAAAATCAGCTGGAATTGTGGCTGAGTGACACAGAGGCTGCTGGAGACCCAGGCAGTTCCTCTTGAAGGGCACATACCTCAGTTGCAGGCTCGATCCCTAGCCCCTGTCAGGGTGTGTGTGGGAGGCAACCAGTTGATGTGTCTCAATCAAATCAATGCTTTTCTCTCTGAATGTGTCTCTCTCTCCCCTTCCCTTCCAGTCTCTCTAAAAAATCAATGGAAAAAATGTCCTGGGTGAAGATTAACAAAACAAAACAAGCAAGCTCAAAATATATTAAAGACTTAAATGTAAGATATGAAACCATAAAAATTCTAGAAGAAAACATAGGTAATAAGGCCTTTCACACTGGTCTTAGCAATATCTTTTTGCATATGTCTCCTTAGGCAAGGGAAACAAAAGCTAAAATAATCAAATGGGGCTTCATCAAAGTAAAAAGTTTCTGCATAACAAAGGGAACCAACAAAATGAAAAGCAACCAACTGAATGGGAGAAGATATTCAGAAATGACACATGTGATAAGGGGTTAATATTAAAAATATCTAAGAAGCTCATGCAAGTCAACATAAAATAAACAATCTGATTAAAAAATGGACAGAAAACAGACATTTCTCCAAAGAAGACATACAGAGGGCCAACAGACATATGAAAAGATGCTCAACATCACTAATCATCAAGGAAATGCAAATCAAAACTACAATGAGATACCCCCTCACACCTGTCAGAATAACTAGTATCAAAAACTCAACAAATAGGAAGTGTTGGTGAGGATGTGCACTGGTGGGATTTTAAATTGGTACTATGGAAAACAGTATGGAGAGTCCTCAAAAAAAAAAAATAGTACCATCATATGATCCAGCAGTTCCACTTCTGGATATTTACCCAAAGAGAATGAAAACAAACACTCATTTGAAAAGATATGTGCACTCATATGTTTATTGCAACATTATTTATAACAACCAAGTTATGGAATCAACCTAGGTTTCCAGCAATAGATGAACGGATAAAGAAGATGTGGCACATACATAAAATGAAATTTTGTGCAGTCATAAAAAAACAATGAAATCTTTCCATTTGTGACAACATGAATGGATCTTGAGGGTATAATGTTAAGTGAAATAACTCAGACAGAGAAAGACAAATACTCTGTGGTTTCACCTGTGTGTGAAATCTAAAAAACAACAACCCACAAATGAAAAAAAATAAATGAACTAAAAACAAAACAAAAACATTCATAGAAAGAGAACAAACTGACCTGTTTGGTGTGGCTCAGTGATTGAGCATCAATCCATGAATCAGGAGGTCACTATTCGATTCCTGGTCAGGGCAAATGACTGGCTTTCAGGCCAATCCCCAGTAGGGGGCATGCAGGAGGCAGCTGATCAATGATTTTCATCATTGATGTTTTTATCTCTTCCTTTTTCCTTCCTCTCTCTGAAATAAATAAAAACATATTAAAAAAAGAAAGAGAACAAACTGATGGTTGCCAGAGGGGAGGGATAAATTGGTGAAGGGGAAAAAGAGGCACAAACTTCCAGTTATAAAATAAATAAGCCACAGAGATGTAGTGTACAGCATGGGGAATATAGTCAACAATATTGTAATAACTTTGCATGGTGAAGATAATTACTAGACTTAGTGTAGTGATCACATCGTGAGGTATATAAATTTAAAATTACTATGTTGTATAGCCAGAAACTACGATAATGTATGCTTATTTTATTATAAATTTTAAAAAATGCTAAACACAAACTTGTCTGATTTAATAAAAGTTCAGTCCAGAATCTAATTTGGGATCCAGATATATCTTTTTCTTGGAGCATAGAAACTTAAAGTAACGCTTTAATTTTACTGTTTAAGGCACTTTATAATTTGCAAAGTGCTTTTGTTTTATTTCATTTCATGTCATAAAATCTCTTCTTTCACTAACTTAGAAATTTGAGAAAAGCAAAGAAAAGCAGTGTAGATGAAAGCACAGCCAATTCCGAGTGTAAATGAACTGGAACTTAGTTTTATTGGTAAACTTCAGCATACATCCCTCCTTCCCACCACAGTCTGGAAGAATACTTTGCCCTGGAGTAATTGAGCCAAAAGATCAAGTTAATAGTAAGAGAGATTTTGTATCAGATTTTGTAAGTGATGCCTTTTGTGAGTTGGGGAAAGAGTAACTGGTAGAGCCCTAACCGTTTTGGCTCAGTGGATAGAGCTTTGGCCTGCAGACTGAAAGGTCCCAGGTTCGATTCCGGTCAAGGGCATGTACCTTGGTTGCGAGCACATCCCCAGTAGGAGGTGTGCAGGAGGCAGCTGATTGATGTTTCTCTCTCATTGATGTTTCTGACTCTCTATCCTTCTCCCTTCCTCTCTGTAAAAAATCAATAAAATATATATTTTTTTAAAAAAGAGTAACTGGTAGAAAATAAAAACTTATCTTTAAGGAATAGATAACATAATAGTTGAGGACAAGGATATCTAAATTCCTAATTTAAATATTTTTATTTTTAAATTTCCTGACCTGATATATTTGTGACTAAATAAAGGTTTCACCTGTGTGTAAAATCTAAAAAAAAAATAAAAATGTAAACATCCACTTGAATTACTTTGGTCCTGATAAAAAAGTGGTTATGAGAGATCACTAGAATGAAACATTGACATCAATACTAATGATAATAATCACTGATAACATATCCAGAGTGCTTGCTGTGTGCTGAGTGCTTTGTAGATGTTAACTCTTTAATCACTTAAGTCAGAGCTGCTGCTATATCAACTTCTCTGAAAGTGTCAAACTTTAATCTGAAATTAGGGTACAGTATATACTGTTTAGAAATAAAATTGGCACACAAATAGAAAAACATGTTGAAAATGAGTTATGTATTAAAAAAGAACATTTCATAGCCTCTGTACAAATATATACAACACTTACATGTAAAATGAAAATTTAAAAATAAACTATCATGTTTAATGCACTGACATGCACACATATACACATATATACATTTTTACAAGATGAAATAAACTTTACTTTTAAAACAGTTTTAGATTTATAGGAAAATTGCAAAGATAGTACAGAGTTCCCATACCCCTGTATCCAGTTTCTCCAATTATTAACATCTTAATTAGTATGCCACATTTGTTGTAATTAGTGAGCAATATCAATAATGAACTAACTTCCATATTTTACTCAGATTTATTTAGTTTTTATCTAATGTCCTTATTCTGTTCTAGGATCCCATCTCAGCATTATATTTATTCTTCCTGTCTCCGGTTCCTCTTTGTGACAGTTTCTCAGACTTTGCTTATTTGTATGTCCTTGACAGTTTGAGGAGTATGGTCAATTACTTTGAGGACTGTTTTATTCTTTCCCTCTCACCCCCATGATTAGACTGGGTTATGGGTTTTTGGGAGGAAGATCAGAGAGATAAAGTGCCATTTTCATCGCATCATATCAGGGATATATCCTTGATCACCTGGCTGAAGTAGTGTTTGTCAGTTTTGAAACTCTAAAAGCCACTGCATTCCCCCCTTTTCCATACTTTTTTTTTTTTTTAAGAAACTTACTATACACGGCCCACACTTAAGGAGTGAGATATTGTACTTCACTTCCTGGAGGTTGGCATATTATTGGGAATTTCCTGTAGGAGAGATCTGTCAATTCTCCCTCCCCCATTTATGTACTTAATCATTTACTTATACCAGTATTGACTCATGGATATTTACTCGATGTGCTTCTTTTGCCCAATAAAATCTTGTGGACAACTTTTTAAAATAATGTATTTTTATTGATTTCAGAGAGGAAGAGAGAGACAGAAACATCATTGATTGGCTGCCTCCTGCAGGCCCCCTACTGGGGATCAAGCTTGCAACCAGGGCTCGTGCCTTGACTGGAAACAGATCCATGTCCTCCTGGTTCATACTAGTAGGTCCAGGCTCAACCACTGAGCCACGCTGATGGGGCTGTGGACAACTTTTAAAGTCAATAGACGTGAATATGATAACTTTTAGAGGTTATATGTCTTTAGTCAATCCTCTACTGATACACATTTTTGCTTCCCCTTTTTCCTTACTTCCAACAATGATGGAATAAGATCTTTGTACATTCAATTTCTTTGTGCACTTGTGTGGCTATTCTTAGTTTATCATTCTAAATCCATCCCTAGGACACATTATACTTGAGCTGTGATCCCTGCTCCTCAAGCACACCTTGCTTTCCTCAGCTTACAAGATGTTTTCTCTACCAGAATTCTCTTCCCCTGCCTTTGCCTCCTGAAGTTCCCTGTTTGATTGAGGGCTCAGCTCAGAAGGATACTTGCTGTAGAAGGTCTTCTCTAGTGTTTCAAATGTAATTCAGTGGTTCCATCCCACTTCTCTTTGTTGAACACGTATTATAAAACATCATCTGAGCATCCCTTTCTATCCCAGAACCCTTTCTACGAATTTATGAAGGGTAGAGTCGGAAAAGTGATCCATCACACTCATCTGTGTAGTCCATCACAATGGTGGGCGCAAAGTAACTAGCGTATTTTGACTTTGAAATTACATGAGTAATTGAGAAATTAATAAGTGTGCTCAATATTACAGAGCGAATTACTCTTCCTCTCTTTTTCCTACGCTTCAGAGAGTCCGAGGAGTTGCATACAGGTGTTAGCTTGTAAGTGCAAACTGTGCTGTAGTTTAAAAGTAATGCTTTCTGGTTGTCTGTCAAAAGTGTTTATTTGAAGATTTGGGTATTAAAGCCTGTCTTCCAAAATGAGCATCTTCAAGGTGCCAAGTATTCATAGGAATCTGTACATAAACGCAGCAGAAATGAAGTAATTAAATAAGGTCTCTGATCTTTCCGACTCTCTAAGTCGGCAGGTGGCATAATGTATCTTACATGTTATAATTAGTAACTAGAGGTGAATGCCAAAAACAAAACAAAACAAAGAGACAACGTTTGGTTGTGAGGCTGTCAGTGAGCGGACACCAAAGATCCGCCCTGCTGCCCTGCGGACCCGCCGGCCCGCACCCAGCGGACGCGCTCCTCCCGCCAACACTCGGCGGGGTGACCTACACTTTGTGACCCGCACTGGGGAGGAGGAGGCGCGCGCATTGCAGCAGCTCGCGGGCACCTGGTCCGCTCTCCGGGGGAAGAGTGGGCCCGCCCCGCTCTCCCGGAGCCCAATCATCTGCACACCCTGGGCACGTCCCGCTGCCAGCCACGCCCCGAGCCGGCGGGCCGGGGCGGGAGCGTCTTTAAGAGCCGGCCGCCGGGCCCGGCTCCGCGGGGGTGCGTGGCTGTGGACTGGAGGCCGAGTCCTGAACCTGAGCCTGAACCTGAACCTGAACCCAGAGGCTCCACCGCGCAGCCGCTTTTCTCGCGGCAGCCTCCGCGCCTACGCCGCCCGCCCACCCACCCGGGCCCCGCAGCCCTCGCCTGGGTCTCTCTGGCCCGCCCGCCGGGCTGTGGGCAGCTTGCTCCGGAGCCTGCCCGCCGGCAACTCGCGCCCCTGGTGCTCCCGCGGCGCCCGACGGGCCGGCCGGGGCCATGGTGCCTTCTCCCGCGGAGCCCGCCGCCGCGCAGGGGTCGAGCGAGACAGAGACGCTCAGCCCCGCGTCCTTGGGGGCTGCCCCGCTCTCGGGCCTGGGACCCTCCGAGGGTCCCGAGGCGGCCGCCCAGAAGGTGGAGGTCGAGGTAGAGTTGGCGGGGCCGGCGAGCACCGAGCCCCCTCCGCCTCCCGAGGGCGGCTGGGGCTGGCTGGTGATGCTGGCGGCGATGTGGTGCAACGGGTCGGTGTTTGGCATCCAGAACGCCTGCGGGGTACTCTTCGTGGCCATGCTGAAGACCTTCGGGTCCAAGGACGATGACCAGATGGTCTTCAAGACAGGTGAGGCGCAGCGCCCGCCGCGGGCGGCAGGGGGACGGGCTCAGTGTGGGTCCACGCCCGCGTGTGCGCCCCGGGGAGTCCCCGTGTGCCTAGGGTGTTTTTGGGGGTGGGGTGGGGCGGAGGGGCGCTGTACTAAATTCTGAAAGGATAGGAGGCAGCCCATGGGAGATCGCGAAGAGGAGCGCAAGGGGTTGCCTTCTCCTGTTGTGTTCTTTGTCGTACTTAACGATTTACCAAACTAGATGAAAAAGGTGCAGACTCACCATTTCCCCGCTTTAGAGCGCTGTGCTTTAGAGCGCTGTTACGTGATCTCTTGACTGATTGGGCAAAAAAGCAAGTTGAAGATCTTCTGTGGAACTCTTTTGCATACATTTCCCACTTTATCCTGCAAGTAGGCGTTGTCAACCCCGTTTAGGTGAGCAAACTGAAGCTTGGTGAAATAAAGTGTCTTGGTGAGTAGCAGAATGGAGATAGAGCACACGTCTTCAGACTTAAACGGCTAAGTGATTTCCATTACTAAATCAGACTCCCTCCCTGCCATTTGGGGAACTTTATATAGTCAATCATCTTTAAAAAAAAATTCTCTCTCTCTCTCTCTTTTTTTTTATTGAAGGGAAAAGAGAGAGAGAGGGAAACATCAATGATGAGAGAGAATCATGGATCAGCTGCCTCCTGCACGCCCCCCACTGGAGATCGAGCCGGCAACCAGAGCATTTGCCCTTGACCAGGACTTCAGTCTGCAGGCTGATGGCTCTATCCACTGAGCCAAACCAGCTAGGGCGATTCATCTTACTTCTCTGTTATTTTTAGTGAACATTTCTGTGTGCATAAAATGAATATACAACTATCCCAATTCCCTGATCTTACTTTGCTGTCATAATAAATTCTAAGGCAGAGGTAATGTTGAGAGCTTACAATCATATATAAATAGTATATTCTAATGTGTATCATTCTGCAATTTGCTTTTCTTTTACCCTGTGTTGTGTCTGCAATTTATCCATATAATACCTTAATTTGAGCTGGTAGCTTAAATTTTTTGTTTTAACGCATAGTTTTCCATATGACTATATTATACTTTATTTATGCATTGTCCCTTTATTAGACATTTATATTATTTTCAAACTTACTGTAAACGACACTACAATGAATATTCTTGTACATTGTCTCCTTGACATGTATTAAATAAGGTGTCATACTTACTCTGGAATTTCTGTTCCATAAATAGTTCTTGAAGTTGCTGTGTTATTCAGGTCACAGGGCTAGGTACAAAAAGTGTTAAAAATGTAATATCATATACTTACTTTGTAAGGAAGACTATCATTAAGAAGTTTAGGAGGATAGATCTGCATATGTAATGGTAAATAAAAGTAATTTTGTGTCTTTTCTATATGAGTATCAGGTATCTGGGAAGGAAAAGCTCCGGGAGGCTGAATTGACAGTTACCGTTTTCAGACTGTTTCCTTCAGCACTTAGCATATTTTTGCCTGGGTTTACAAATTTTTAATGCAGTCAAAACAAGACAACAGCCTTTCCTTTACTACTGTTTTTGCAAGCCCAGATAAGTTGATCCATTGGTATCTGAGGGTTGTTTTTTGTTTTTACTCCTTCCTGCCTTTGTTCTTTTGAGATAGTGAGCAACTGCTGGAGAAAGACCATAGCTTCCGCCAGGAATCAGTTTTGCAGTGTTGAAGCGTCTACCTACAAGTTCCTATTGGCTACAGTATCCCAGTACTGGATAGCAAAAATGAGGGAGGGGACAGGACCTGCTATCTTGAAGTTTTTGAAACTCCATATTTTTAGTTTTCATGAATATCTTTCTCCATTTACTCAGTTAAGTTCTTGACAACTTTCAGCCACGTCTGAGGAAGCGGGCGCACGTGTGTGTGTGTGTGTGTGTGTGTGTGTGTGTGTGTATCATATAAACAGTCATATGGATATGCCAGTTAAATACTGAAGATCTTTGTGCTTATCTGCGTGATTGCCATGTTTGGTCATGCCCTTGCACAGATGTGTCCAACTCAGGATAAGTGGAGATGGAAAACCAGTCTGTGTTCTGGGTGCCCTTTATCTAATTCCTACAAAGGGGCCTTATGCACTTATAATGGCCCTGTGTAACACAGCAGCTTGCATGAACGTTGGCCTTTATTTGGACACGATGTAATACATGTATAACAGCTATTTTTTAAGGTATGAGAAAGAAAACGGATTTAACCTCATCTGTGAAAAAAGGATGACAAGATAGTTATTGGGCCAGTTAATGTTGAGATACCACCCCCACCCAGCCCCTTCCCCAACAGGTGTTTCATAGAGTCCATCATCTACAAAAGGCACTGAAGTATTTGAGAATACCTGCTCTGAAGTTTGGCTTTTCCACTAATGCTGAGTCATCTGTGATCAAACATATGCAAGCTTCAAGTACAACCCCCCAAAATATCTAGAATTGCTTAAGGCTTTTATTTTTCAAAATATTGGTCCATTTTCTGTTACTCTATTCATGATTGATAATCCCAGCATTAGAGGTCAGGTAATTGTCTCCATGTTTTCATTAGCTTCTTCATACTGATTAGTCCAAGGATACACAGGGAGGTTGTGGTAAAATGGGAACCGAGGGTTTCAAATGATGGTTCACATTTCTTGAGAATTTCCCATGTGCCAGCCCAGTGCTAAGCACTTTACATGCATTCTTATTTAAACCTTACTGCAACCCCACGGGCTAGGCTTTATGTGATAGCTCTCTTTTGAGATGTGGAAACTCAGGTTTGCAGAGTTTGAGTAAGCGGTGGGGCCAGAATTCAAATTCAGGTTTATCTGATTCCAGAAACTGTTGTTTTTTTCTGGTGAAAGAAAAATTTTAATACCGCTACAATAATACAATGTTAACAAAAATTGGCCAGGTACTGAGGTTATTTTAGTGAGCTACCATCATTTAAATATAAGAAAAGTAATTTCTTGGTCCAAATTAGTGAGACCTTAAAAAAGATTGTCTCGATAGCCACTTGGCCTGGAGGTCAAACCCTCCCTGGTATTAGCTACAAAATCAAGGTTTAACTATAAGACTGTGAACAAAGACCACTAGGGGGTGCACCAAGGAAGCATAACAAAATGCGGAGACAAAGAAACAGGACAAAATTGTCAATGGAAGATATAGAGTTCAGAACCACACTTTTAAGGTCTCTCAAGAACTGTTTAGAAGCCGCCGATAAACTTAATGAGATCTACAAGAAAACTAATGAGACCCTCGATGTTATATTGGGGAACCAACTAGAAATTAAGCATACATGGACTGAAATAACGAATATTATACAGACTCCTGACAGCAGACCAGAGGAGCTCAAGAATCAAGTCAATGATTTGAAATGCGAGGAAGCAAAAAACACCCAACCGGAGGGGCGGAATGAAAAAAGAATCCAAAAATGCGAGGATAGTGTAAGGAGCCTCTGGGACAGCTTCAAGCGTACCAACATCAGAATTATAGGGGTGCCAGAAGATGAGAGAGAGCAAGATATTGAAAACCTATTTGAAGAAATAATGACAGAAAACTTCCCCCACCTGGTGAAAGAAATGGACTTACAGGTCCAAGAAGCGCAGAGAACCCCAAACAAAAGGAATCCAAAGAGGACCACACCAAGACACATCATAATTAAAATGCCAAGAGCAAAAGACAAAGAGAGAATCTTAAAAGCAGCAAGAGAAAGAAACTCAGTTACCTACAAGGGAATACCCATACGACTGTCAGCTGATTTCTCAACAGAAACTTTGCAGGCCAGAAGGGAGTGGCAAGAAATATTCAAAGTGATGAATACCAAGAACCTACAACCAAGATTACTTTATCCAGCAAAGCTATCATTCAGAATTGAAGGTCAGATAAAGAGCTTCACAGATAAGGAAAAGCTAAAGGAGTTCATCACCACCAAACCAGGATTATATGAAATGCTGAAAGGTATCCTTTAAGAAGAGGAAGAGGAAGAAAAAGGTAAAGATACAAATTATGAACAACAAATATGCATCTATCAACAAGTGAATCTAAGAATCAAGTGAATAAATAATCTGATGAACAGAATGAACTGGTGATTATAATAGAATCAGGGACATAGAAAGGGAATGGACTGACCATTCTTGGGGGGGAAAGGGGTGTGGGAGATGCGGGAAGAGACTGGACAAAAATCGTGCACCTATGGATGAGGACAGTGGGTGGGAAGTGAGGGTGGAGGGTGGGGCGGGAACTGGGAGGAGGGGAGTTATGGGGGGGAAAAAAGAGGAACAAATGTAATAATCTGAACAATAAAGATTTAATTAAAAAAAAAAAGAAAGAAAATAGGACGTTAGTTGAGAATTAATATTTCTAGTTTTGCATTCTGTCATTTATAAGCAAAGATTAGTCAAATGAGGGAAGAGCACCATAATTTCTTATACTTGTTTACAAAATGATCATTCTGTGGTGTCTTTTTTACTCTTTGAAACTCTAATTCATAAGAATGACATTAGTTATGTATGTCTACTTAGGGTGGGTTATACAATAATGTTATGATATTTCAAATTCCACAGTTAAAATGCTATTTCAAATGTTCTTTTTTCAGTTTTAGTCAACAAAAAATGATGATTATCCCTCTGTTTTTAAACTTTTTTTGCTGTTGTTTTACATTGTTTCTTAATGTGAAAGAGTTTCCAGGTAGGGGAGGGTGAAGAAAACTTTATTAATGTTACTTAGATATTAAAGAAAAAAGACTAAAAATTATGACCAGAAATATTCGTTTTAAACTAATGATACTGTTTCAGTCACTTTACCCTTTTTAAGTTTTGATTGTGGTGGAAAACACATCACATAAAATTGACCATCTTAATCATTTCTAAGTATACAGTTCAGTAGTGTTAAGTATATTCATAATGTTGTGAAAGCTGTCATTTTAATAAATTGGTTTTCATTTAAAAAAAAAAAAAGATTGTCTCTGGAGAACATTATTTGAGAATACTGCTTTCCCTGACACATTCTGATTCTCAAA